AAAGATTTTCAGAGATAGAAGAAGAACACAGGTTTATCTTTTAAGATTTCTTTTTAAAATGTCATGAAAATCATAAAATTAAAATTACAGTTATTATTTACAGTGGTTTTTATGGGCCAAACAGAAATATCTGGTACAGAACTTTAAAATCTCTCTAAAGAGATCAAGGTAATTTTAATTAATCACCTGCTATTCAAGAGAAAAATTGCTAAAAACTCAATTACTATAACTAAGACCCACAATGTTTGTTGAAGAAATTTATGAAGAATCTTGCAGAAAACTTAACACATACTAAACATTCAATTATTTTTTGTTTGTATGTTTGTTTGTTTTTGTTTTTTTCCAGTACCGGGAATTGAACTCACGACCTTGCACTTGCCAGGCAGGTGCTGTGCCGCTGAGCGAAATCCCCAGCACCTCAATTATTTTCTAAACATTAAATAAAAAATGTAACCCATGATACTTATAATGACATCTTTGTCTGAAAAGTTCCTATGAAAATAAACCTTTTCTACCACCCCATCCACCCACCTACTCCTATCTATTCTCACACTTCCACTCAAGCTGGTCGCCAAATAACAATCAGTCATACAGACAGTATTTAATTGCAAGTCACTTAATAAATTCTGATTGCCTGAGTTCTGACTTTACCTTTTAAATCATTAACCTTATTCTCTAGATTTGCTCACATTTTTCTAAGTACTAATTATAAAGTCTGTCTGCTCTGCAATTGAAATGGAATTTAACATACACACTCATAGAGTAAAAACAACACTCTACCTAGAGCAATATATTTGCAGTAAATATAATTATAAGCCACATTCCCTGCTCTTTATTTTTGTAACCATTTTTGAAATTAGAATATCACAGTGAAAAAATATCTAGAATAGAAATTGAAAGAAAAAACCTAGTCTCTAGGCTTCCTTTCAGGCTAATTTGCCACATACCTTGTACAAATAAAATATTTCTTCAGGATCCACATTTTATCATCTATGATATGAAGCCAATAATACCTACGTGTAACCATTTGCATAAATTCTTTATTTTTAATTGATACATGACAATTATACATATTCTTGTGGTATAGTAAGATATGGTGACTCATGTTCAATGCATGGTGATCACATCAAAATAATTAGTAAGTCTATCACTCCAAACATTTAAAACAGAATTATGTTGAGATTTTCAACTATACAAGTAATATATACACATTATTAAATAATTAGAAAATACTAAACCTTGGATAAAAATTAAAATCACTTGTAAGCACATCACCTAAAAGACCTATATTTAACGTTTTATATTTTCTCAAATTTTCCTCCTTTTTTGCTTACTTTGCTGGCTTGGAATTGACAAACCATCTAGTTGTTTAATTGTCCGTTTGTTTTTATTCAAGTAACCTCATATAAAAATCAAGTGCTGTAGTACTACATACAGATAAACAGAACTTTTCTGTTCGTATTTCACAAATCACTATCTCCTTGTCACATTTCTTGATACCCAGCTTTTCAATTTATAATCATTTGTTATTAACATATATGATCTAACTTGCAAATGATGTGCTTTATCACTATTTGATTTGTCTCTAGTACATACTATTGAGTTTCCATACTCTGGGATTGAGGATTTAGGTTTCCACTACATCCTGCTACCCCCCGTCATACACGCTTTTCTTCTTCGGAGCTTTGCAGTGTGAATAACACACATTTGAAAATATTAATTTCACATTTTTAATTTAACAATGCTATTTACCCCATTCATTGTTAAACATTTTAAACAGTAGGGATTATTTGCATTGCTTATAGCTTAATCATTTTTCAGTTAATTAAACTTTTACATTTAAATTATCTTGTTTTTGCACTTCTTTCACATTCCATTTGTCAGTGATTAATTCATGACCACATTTACACCTTCTTTCACTCTGTCATCACTCATCCTCCTGCAGCATTTTCTTTTCAGGTTCTGACTGGAGCCAATTATTCCGGCTACTGCAATGCCATCTCCCAGTAGATTCACATTCTTAGAATTTTTAAACTTCTCTGCAATTCTCTCGCCTTTATTTCTTGGGCATTTCTGGGTGGTTTCATTTTAAAGTTGCTAAGTTATTCTCAATTTTTTCCCTGAAGGCACTTAGCAAAGTGGAGAAACTTGAAACCTCAGTCAATTATGGTGATCATTTATGGCAACATGAGATTATGTCCATCTCAGTCTTTCCAGGTCCTGAGAACTCAGGGCTAACTCCAGTCATCTTTTCACTCTGTGGTCTCATCATTCTTGTGAATTAAATGCATTTCTATTCTTTACTGCAATCCTATCGGGTTTCTCAAGGGAGATGTATTCATTCTACCATGGATAGCTTCAAGTGAGGAATAGCTGGGTCTCAAATTGTCATGAGAATAAAACCTAAGCTTGTGTGTGCATGCAATTTGTGCACTAATCTCTCCACTCACATCAGGCATCACTACAGGACGTTAACACACACTTGTTTTTTCAACAGACCTCTTTCATCAGTGGACACAAATAAGCTTATGTTAACACCACTAAGTTAGCTGTCCCTGGCTTTCACTTTACTTTGTAAGGCCTTCTTTCCATTAAATTCTCATCCAGTGACTTTTGGAATTTCCTCTATGAGTGATTATTACTTACAACACTTGCTTAAATGCACTCTAAGCACCAAGTAAGCCGCTTTAGACACTCCGAGTATAAATCAGTGAAAACGACAATGATCTTTTGACTCATTTATTTCTATTCTTGGCAAGAAAGGCAAATACCAATCTACAAATAGAATTTAGCTATGCCGTATAGTAGCACATGCTACAAGCTATAGCTAAAGAGAAATATACTTGAGAAAGTGGAGGATGCCAGGGTTGGGAGAAGCTGTTCTTTAAAGCACAATATGGAGAATAGGCTTCACTGAAAAGGCACCTTTTGAAGAACGACTACAAGGAGGTGAAGAGATGAAGTAATGCTGATATCTAGAACAAACAGTGTTATAAACAAAAGGCACAAGAGTGTTAAGGCCCTGAAGGACAGAAAGGAGTACGAAAATGTAATGCGCAGTAGACTTGAAGATAGTGTTTCTGGAACAAAGAAGCAAAGGAAAAAGTGATAAGGAAAGAAATTCAAAAGGGGTACAGATCACGAAGGGCGTATGTGAATGCCTTTGGCATTTTCTTTAGTTGAAGTACATTATCAATGGAATTTTGTGGACAGGCATGATTTTTCTGATATTGTAAAAGGATTACTGTTGTTATTAAAGTTGGTCCACATCATACATTAGCAGGGCAATGCAGATTCCAACAACTCTAAAATACCACCCCACACTGACTACAGTGGCTGCTATTCTTTATATCTAGATGCCCCTGCAAAGATAGGTGGGGCTTTGGGGAGGTCACTGGATTAAGTGCACAGGACATCCGGCTTATTAGAAGCTGTGGTCTGGTCTGAAGAGGTAATAATTGGGGGCGCGGCTTGGAAAGGTTCATCTTTCTTTGCAGCTCCTTTCTTGGGCTCTACGCTTCCTGTTCCCTTCACCTGAGCAGCTCCCCTCTGCCACGCTGTCCTGCACTGGATCCTCTGGAATATGCACTGCAACCTCAGCAAACTGTGAGCCAAAATAAACCTCTCCTCCTTTAATTTGCTGGTGTCAGGTATTTTGTCAAAGCAACATGGACCAAAATCCAGAACATTCACTGTACCAAATGCTGGGGAGGATATGAGGCCACTGGATTTCTCATTCATTATTCTATGAACTGCAAAACGGTACAACCATGTTAGAAGATAGGCAGTTTGTTAAAAACTTAAAAAGGCAGTCCTATTACCCTGCTCTTGGTATTTACCTAAGCAGTTAAAAACATATTTCCACACAAAAACCTGTACATGGATGTGGATAGCAGCTTTGTCCCAAACTGGCAAAATTTAGAAACAACCAAGACGTCCTTCACTATGCAAATTGATAAATTAATGGCTGTGCATAAAGGCAATGGAATCTTATTTAGCACTGAAATGACACAGAGGATCAAGCAATGAAAAGACAGAGGAATCCCAAACATGCTACAAAGATGAAGAAACTAAACTGAAAAGACCACATACTATGTGATTCCATCTGAAAGATACTCCAGCAAAACAGTCAGTGTTTGCCAGGAGTTGGAGAGGAGGGAGTGCTGGATAAGCAGAGGAAAAGGTGTATTCAGAGCAGTGAATCTATTCTGTATGATGATAGTACGATGGTGGATACACGGCTTTATAAATTTGCCAAACACATAGAATGCACAATACCAAGAATTAAGCTCAGTGTTAACCAAAGTCTTTGGGTGACATTAATGTTGATAAGTTCTGATAACCCATTGCCATCAGACCAGCTAGTCTTTGGGTGATGATAACATGTCAGTGTGTTTTTATTAATTTTAGCAAATGTACCACCCGAGGGAAGGATATTGATAACAATGAATACATACATGTATATAAGGATGATCTATATGGGAAAGAGCTGCACCTTACTCAATATTGCTGTGAACCTGAAACTGCTCATAAAAAGTATATATAAAAATTGCTATAGCTACTATAATATAAGTTGGAAGTAGGAGGCAAAGACAGGAGAAAATGGACCAGTTAAATGCTATTGCAGTAACCAGGCAAGGAATGATTGATGCTGAGTGTCTTTCTAGAGAGATAGTAGGTAGGGATCCTTGAAAAGTTAGAAGTATATTAAAAGTAGACTCAACAAACCTTCCTGAAAAGAATAAATGTAGAAAATAACAGAAAGAGAAGACTCAAGGTCTTTCACCTGAGCAACAGAAAGGGTTCAGTTTTCATTAGCTGAGTGAGGTTTCTCTGAAACAGGACTGGGAAGAGATTAGGAGCTAAATTTGGTCAGGTTCAATTTTAGACCTACTGATGGCCAAGTGGATATGCCAATTGTTTGTTTTGGGGTTTTTTTGTTTGTTTGTTTGTTTTCTGGTACTGGAAATCGAACTCACGACCTTACGCTTACCAGACAGGTGCTGTGCCGCTGAGCTAAATCCCCAGCCCCTGTGCCAATTGTTTTGTGCAAGAAATTTACTGAACATCATGTGACATCTGATATGGATTGTTTTCCCCTTTCCTTCCACTGCCCAAATGTCCTTCACAAAGGTCTTACTACTACATCTGCAGTCAGACTCCTCCATGAGAACAGTGATATCTATGCGAAAATTTCTTATTATGCCAAGTTTCAAGGGATTGCAGAAAAATGGTAGTTCCTGAAAAAACATTAATGAAGGAACATGGGAATTTTCTCCTCTATTTCCCCATATTGGCATTACACATGCTCATGTTTTAATCAGATTCCTTCTGCTTCTGTCTACAACTTCTCCTTCCTTGGGCTTAGGAATAAAACTTCTTGGTGTGAGACTTATAACACTTCCCCTCTTCATTTAACTCTCCTTTCGTCCTAACTCAAACATTTTATCTTTCTGGTTCTAGTACTGAATGTGTCTGACTTTCTGCTTATGCTATTGCTAAATTAAGATAATTACTATTGACATTCAACCAGGGAAGAGATGAGGCAGAGAGGGAGAGCTGGGAGCAGACAACAACATTATATGTAATACAGAGGAATCCCAAATTTAAAAGGGGGTGATTCCAACCCTACCTCATTCTTTCTTCTTTAAGTATGAATGAAGAAATATTTACTTGGTTGTATAGCACAAAAGTATAACACAGCAGCAATACCTCAAGGGTCTACTACTTCATTATTAAAAACATCTCCATGAATGAAACTCTTTCCTACATCCATTCTTTTATCTACCTGTCCTTTTCAGACTATATTAATAGAATTTTAGGAATTCCCAGTAAATAAAAGAATTGTGCCTAAATTTATGGTTTAAAATTTCAGATATTTCTAATGTCTTCAGTACATGATCCAGATCTAAAACCGGTTTTTTAGAACATCTTCATACGAAGGTGGAGGGCCAAGTGTGCCAAAATGTGAAACAGGATGATGTCCTGGGTTTTGAGCTTGAAAGTGAGATGCAACAGTTGTATTCACAGCTGCTTCTGTCCCTGGAAAGGAATATGGAGGCATGTAATATTTCCGTTCTGCAGGAAACAGAGTCACAGACATTGACTGATGAAATCTAGCATTTCTTGGATCACTGGAGCAAGAGGATATTACCTGTACCCTTGAGAAAAAAATGGATAACATCTTTCTCTCTACAGTGATGGTTTTGTCACTATGGAAAGAAAATTTTCTCCAATGAATTGGTTTATCATCATTGACTAACCCATCAGGAGACATTTATGGTTTAGTAACTAAAACTAGAAGAAATGCTCTTTTAGTGTGTTGTAGATCACAAAGGAGGAGCCCTTTAAGCCTTAATGGCATTTTAGTTAAGTCTCCCATCATGGGAAAAGCATGTCTCACTAGAAACATTGCAACACTACATTTTAAACTTCATTGTTTTATGTTTATTTCTAAAAACTAAAATCAAATAAAGTAATGACTTTGAACTTTTTCTTACAATAATACTAAAAGTTGAGATAAATGATGCAAATTTTGTTTAAGGTATACACACATAATTATGAGAAAACATTCCAAAATTTAAAGTAAGTGGTTTGAAATAAAATTTCTTTTTTTCAGTTAGGCACAACAGTGTCATTAAATACCTTCAAAAAAGCCTTTTCTTCCATAAACTGGTCACCTTGAGAGACCTTAAATTTATTCTAATAATCCGGAAATATATTGTTATTTCCCTGAGAGACTATTTTTGAGTCACAGAGGAAATCAATAGTAATTTTGATAGCCATTTCTCTTTATATATTTTTTTAACTTGGATCTTTACCTGACTTTGAATGCTGTTGAATGCTCCATTTCAAAACAATATTGATCATCCTTAATTCACATTTAAAGAAGGAACTAGGGGGGCCCGGGATATAGCTCAGTGGCACAAGTGCCTGCCTGGCAAGGGCAAGGTCCTGAGTTTGATTTCCAGTACCAAAAAGAAGAAGGAGGAGGAGGAGGAGGAGAAACAACTAGGTTTTTGAAGTATATCTAGCCCTTGACTGTTTCCATATATTAAATTTAATTAGAACATAATCGTACATATTCATTTACATGCTGTCTGTGGTTGATTTTGACCCACAGTGGCAGAGGTGAGTAGACCCAAAAAAGACTGCATGGTTCTTAAAGCCAAAAATACCCTCATCTGTCCTTTAACTGGAGGTATCTGCTTTCCTCCTGTAAAGGTTTAAGATATGCTCCCTTTGGGAAGATCCCAAAGAACATGCAAAGATTATCAAATTAATTTAAGTAGTTGTCAGTTGTTTGGCCTTAGTTATATCTCTGAATCCCATGTGTAGATTACCCAAAATTGTTATATTGGTGTGGGGAATGATAATTTATAGCCACCTATTTTCCCACAGGTGTCCTGCATTATTTCTTACCTTGCTGATCCTCATAGAAAAGTATAATTACTCAGATATTAATATCATGTGTGAAGGGTGGAGCTATATTTAGAAAATATCTCACTTTTTGGTTCAGTACTTTTCTTTGTAAATTATTTATTTAATTCACTAATCGATTTCCAGTGTATTAAATGGTATTTATTTACTCCCACTTCCTCTTATACAATAAAAGAACAATGACAGTATCTGCCTCTATAAAGATAAGATTAAATGAGGGTAAAGTGTTTAAAATGAGCCTGTCACACAGTAAAGGTTTATTATTATTATTATATATGAAGAACTATAATATGCTAGCAATATTATTTATGATATAATTTCCTCATCTATCCTATTTTAATGGTTAAAGAAGGATTTATTCATCACCATTATTAACTCTAATATGAATTATTAAATAGTAAATATCACAGAGAAAAGCCTTTTTCAGTTCACAAATTTAGGCTGAAATTAGTTAAGTCTATGGGACTGGTACAGAGAGCTAAAATGTAAAAATGTACTGACTCCCCAAATCCTTTCCATTGTGAACACTGATACTGAACACTGTTTTCCTGGCAGACCGCTCCTGGTGTAGTCAGTATGAAGTCAATGACAACTTAGCTATCTTCCTACCTGGAAATGGTCGACCAGTTGACTACACACATTTATTGTGTGTACTAGGTCCAATTTATTTCTACTGCTGTCATTATCAATATTACACTCCAGGTCATAGAATCTTGACAGCCGCTCTCTGTGGTAGGTTCCTTTTATTGTCTTGTTACTCAGAATTTAGTGGTTGTCATTAAACCTGATATGAAAAACCATAAGGCATTGATTGATAAACACAACTAAGCCAGCGTGCTCAGAAGCTTCAGAAACGGAACATTTATCAGTTTCCAATATTTCTCAAAAAGTGTTTAATGTAAAATTTCATGTGATTGTGGGTGGCAAAGACAGACTTTTTTTATCTCCTCACAAACTAAGAACCCAAGAGGAATCAGTTTAAAATTTTTGCAGAAGTCCTGTAGTTTTGGCAAAACTGCTAGCTAGGGTATTGGAATTTGCAGCTTAATTTTGTAAGACCAATACACCATCTGTTGAGTTTCAAAATCAGAGTTCCGATTTCCCATACTATTAAGGATAATTTCAATAGATTTGACTTTTTAACATTCCATTTCTACTTTTTTCTTTCTTTTCCTTTTTAAAAAATGTTATCCATTTCTCACATATAGAATTGCTAAAAGTCCTGCACTTGAGTCATAGTTTTACTATGTAATATCTCTGTTTGTTGTTTGTTTTGCAAAGTACTGGGGATTGAACACAGAGCCTCCACACTGAGTTACATTCCCAGCCCTTTTTGATTTCTAATTTTGAATCAGTAGGTTGCCCTAGCAGGGCTCAAAATTATGATCCTCCTGCCTCAACCTCTCAGAATGCTAGGATTATAGGCATGTGCCCATTGCCTAGCTAGCTGTGTTGCTTTGTCTGTTACGGCCTCCATTTCCTCATCTGTAGAATGCTAAGAGTGATCATTAACCCCTCATAGAATTGTAGGAAAGTATAAATGTGACAAATCACATCAAGAGCATGGTGCACAGTAAATGCTCAATAAACATGAGTGCTTATTATTATACTCTCCATAAGCAGGTGTGAAGGAGGCACCCCTTCCTCCTTACTTAAAATAAGCTAGCTACATGATATACAAATGTGGAACATAAAATCCAGGGAAATGATCTCTAAAAGATCCAAAAATAAAAGAATCCAGAGGGAACCAGGAGAGAGAGCAGAGTGGAATATGTGAGTCTATTCTTGCTCACCTCTCCAGCCCTCTGCCCTCCTAGCTCAGAGCACTGTCACTTAATCACTGCTGCACACCAGTATTTCTATTTTCTCTGAAACAGGAAAAAGGAAAGATTATCTCAGAGATTGCAGAAGAAATGGGGTCAGGGAGAATGGATAGTTTCAGGGCAGCTTTAGCAGTGACACGAGTCTTGAGTAGCTAAGTGACAGTGAGTGTTTCCAGGAGAAGTGTCTCTGTGCACTGTCCCCTCAGAAAAGGCAGATGACCTTCTAGGGCTATAGGACACTCACCACTCCAATCCACAGATGACATGTAATGAAGGCAAAGGGACCTGGATACAGATTCTACAGCAATTTGCAAGTTTTCTCTACAATGTGGACAAACAGTGGTGTGTGGGGTAACTCTCTTTTCTTTCCTTTCTAGGGAAGGCTAGATAGTTTATCTACCACAAGCCCTAGTTGCCCTCCGTTCATCTCCTAGAGGCCAAACATAGTTCTCTTTATTATCATTAAATGTCTACATCTTCACTGATCTGGGCATGTATTCAGCTTCACGGTCTTATTTTTAATAATTGCTTTTATCCTTATTTTCAATTAAAATAAATATCTTGTTTTCTAATACATTTAAAAAAATCTTTTGATCTTACCTATCATCCAGACAGCATCCTTACAGAAAAATAATTAACTTAACAAAAAACTAGACTCTTTTTATTTTTTTCTTCCTGTTTCAAATCACTTGTAGTTTCTGCCTACTTCATTGTGTCTTATAGTCCTTGGTTTATAACATGAAGATAATACGCACAAGTTATAGACACGTGGCGATGTGAGAATTTTAACAATTTCTTGCCCTTTTTCCTGACCTTTACTAAAATGTTGCATACAACCCTTTAAGAAGTCACAGTTGGTGATTCTACCTCTCCATTTCTACATTTTTGGGGGTTGGGGAATGGTGGTAATTTTCTTTTTTATTTATCAGTGAGGAGGGAGTCCAAAAGTATGTATTAAAATAAATAAGACACTGAGATTTTACCTCTAATACAGATTCTGAGGCAAAAAAAAAAAACCTCCACCCAAGTATTACTAGAATAGTCAGGGTCTGATGGGGAAAAGAAGAGAAGCAAAAAGAAGTCAGAGAGGTATTCATGAATGATCCGATCGAGACTTAAGGGCATGGTGTGGATACTTTCATGGATTGTAGCAGAGGCAGAAAGGGAGAAAACGATCCAGAAGGCAAATGGCTGGGGAAGCAGGGTGAGAGAAGAGATACTACCTATGAGATACTGTATTTGGGTAGCAGGAAAAAAGAAGATGATTTTAGAGCTGGGAGGAGGAAAGAAAGGAAGGAAGGAAAGATGGAAGGAAGAAAAGGAAGAAAAGGAAAGAAGGAAGGAAGGAGGAAGGTAGAAAAAAGAAAGAGAAAGAGAGAGAGAGAGAGAAAGAAAGAAAGAAAGAAAGAAAGAAAGAAAGAAAGAAAGAAAGAAAGAAAGAAAAAAAGAAAAAAAAGAAAGGAAGTTTATCTCCTTACAATTCTAGTGCCTGAGTGTCCAAGATCAAGTGGGAACAGGGTCAGTTTCTCTGAGACCTGTGGCTCTGGCTTGCAGATAGCTCTGTCCTCTTCTCTGTCTTCACGTAGGCTTCCCTCTGTGACTGTCTGTGCCCTTGTCTCCTGTTTTTATAAAGATGCTAGACAAATGGGAGTAACATCCACCATAAATACCTCATTTTAAACAAATTAGATTTTTAGAAACTCTGTCTTCAAACACAATCATGTTCCTATCGTCTGGGCATTAGGACTTGCATGTACAAGTTCAGTGGGGTGTATACAACTGCACCCAGAACAGGCGGTATCAGCAGGATTGCTTCTTCATTTCTGGAGGGTAAAGAGCTCCATCATATCATCTATGGAGACAGGAGGTGATGACTCAGCTAAGTTAAGTACTAGGTTCTCTTGTGTTGAGCTTAGTGGTTATTTAGAGAAGACCTTGAGTCCAGGGTCCACCATTCAAAACCACAGATGAAGGAAAGAAAGATCCAGCCATCTGTGCCCTGAATCAATTGGGCACTGGGAAAATGCATAAACACGGACCTAGGCAGTGTCCTTAGCGCCTAGGATATTTGGCTGAGTTCCCAAGAACCTTTCCCCCACCAGAAGTCTCTTGCGAGATTGGGGTAGGCCAATATGCTAAGGAAAATAGCTCTTTTCTTTTCTTTAATATTTCTAATCAAGATAATTGGCATCGTGAGCAGTGTAATACTGGCAAGAATTGCTATGGAGAGAAACTGATTGTTTTATATATTTTAATGTTAGTAAAGTTTAGTCAACTCCAGCCCTTGATATTCAGCCAAAATTTTCCTCTTGGCTTTTCACCTTTAAGAGCAGCTTCCATGAGATCCTGAGATTGAAACCTCTGACCTTTGGGTCAGAAAAGCAAAGATAATTCAGCTAATATGTTCAACAAGTAGTGGTATTAAAATGAAATAACTTGTGAAAAAAATAAAATAAAGGTCTGCAAGGAACTCACAGTTAATATATCAAATCTAGTGTCTGCACTAAAATGTTTTAAATGATCTGTTTCTTACATTTTGTATTCAAGAGGGAACATCCTGCCCTCCATTTTGTATGTACAAGATGGCAGGAAGTCCAGAGGTTATTTCATACTCTAATACATCACCAATGTCATTGAAGGGATTTCTCAATTTTCTTTTTCTCTTCTGAATAGTGATTGCAAGGGAAACTCAAAAGGACAGGCCCACAATCTCAGTGTGGCCCTGTGAATCTTTCTGTGGCCGGGATGAGCCTCATGCTATGAGCACATACTCTGCAGGACTCCTGGAAGTAGATGCTGTGGTTTTGATCCTCACCTGTCTCGGTAGCCATACAAAGATCCTGGGATGGTTCTCTACCTCGTCTTTGGAGAGCAAATCCTTCCTATAGAAATTCTAAGTAGGAATCATGTATCTGAAAAGTTGACTGTGTAATGGAAATCTGGTCAGAAAATTAAGTCCAGTGTGGTCCCAAGTTTCAGACTGCCTTAAAATATGGACTCACTGGGATTTATTTCCAGAAATCAGTAGTTAAGCAATGTCTAAGGCTCATAAAGTGTACCACTTCCTAAATTCTTCTTTTATATTGTGTTCTGGAGAGAAGAAACAGGAGTGCCTAAGAATAAAACTCTGAGACCACAATGCACATGGAACTATGCGCATGGCTATTTATTGCTGTATAGCCATGTTGAGTATACCTTGGACAGAATGGGTGATGGACAACAGATGAGATAAACTAACACCCAACTCAGTGCAGGTAAAAGGAAAGGTAAATTTGGAGGGGGCAAATAACTGAGCCAGCGGCTTCTGAGTTGGATAACAACAGAAGAGTGATTTTTGAAGAGAATTTAAATTTTTTTTTCAGCAAAATAAGATCCAGAAGCTAGACCAGTAGGATTGGAAGGAAAGGATAGAATTAGGATAGGAATAAATATTGTAGAACAAAATCCATAACACTAGGTAGTAACTAACTGGAAATATTTTATTATTCAGAATATGAATCTGTCCCTCGTGTCCAGGCTGGATTGTTTATGCTATGAGTGACCTTTCCAAATCTTTAACTGAGTTGCTACCTAAATCTCTAAACAGTCTTTTTTCCCCAGAGGAGTGAAAGAAGTAAGTAACATCCCCTGAGAGAAACATTGATGACTTTCCAAATAGAGATAATATTTGAAAAGTCTCAGTCTACTGCCTAGAATTTGGTAGATATGAAATAAATTGTGACTATTATTATTGAAAAATAATGTTGCCAAAGTTTTTTTCCAGTTTATAGTGATTTTGGCATAAGGTAGAGAATGTAATTCTCATGCCCCATACTAAATGCCATTATATGCAGATTATATTGGCAGTGAATCAATCTTGCTGTCTTCTCCCACCCACATTTTGGCTAGTTCAGGCAAATTCAGGAGCATACATAGAAACCATCACACAAAAAATAGAAAAATACTAGATATATAGGGCTGTAACTATGGCATTTAAACTCCCTTAGGATAGTAACAGCGTAAGTAGCTTAATAATATATGTAAATTTAGGAATAGACTTCTTTTAAGATTCAACATGCTCTAATGAAAGGGTCTTCCTTAGAGTAAAAAGACAGCTTGAGACTCCCCTTTAGAAATGCAGAGAGGAGGAAGAGACATACATTTATAACTCTCTTTAGTTAAATAAAGAAAAATAGACCAAATTTACCATGTAGATTTCTTTGACAAATACATTTTGCTAGAAGGCCAGTGACCTATTTCCCTGCATGTTACATGAAGTGTCTTTGATTTTAGGAGAAAGATCTGTTATCATTACAGAATTTTATTGTCCTCCCCAAAATAACCATTTCCCAAATTGGTAATGTCACGTCCTTGTTAAGTGATTTTTTTCGGGGGAGAAAAACCTGCCAGCAATGAAAATAACCAGTATACCCTGCACATGTGTCTAAACTACAGCCCACAGGTTGTGTGCCCCTTTTATTAAGGTTGGTAAGCCTATACATAAAAAGGAAAGGAAGTTTTGTTACATATATACATTGACTATATCCTATGTTTTCTATGCAGCTGAAGACAATTCTTCACTCAGTGCAGGCTCAGACAAGCCAAAAGGTTGGACATGAATATTTTTCTGTGTTTTTATTCTACTACTATTTGTTAGTTTTTCACAGAGCACACCCTGTTCCAACCATTAAAAATCTCATGCTGGACTAACTTGCTGCAAGGCAGCTGTTAATTTTTACCAAGCACTCTTGAGGTAAATATGATGTACAATGCCCAACCGGAGTGAGAAAGTTGCATACAATCTCCCGAAAGAGAACAATGTTTAACCTGAAGGGATCACCCAGTCATGGTAGCTTTCTGGAAACCAGGAGGTGATTGTTTTTGTCGACTTACTGTGAAGGTTGAAAGCTCCAGATAACTCAAAGACCTCTATTGTCTGTATTTCTTATTCACTTGTACAAACTGAGAACTGGTAGGAGAGATACCGTTTGGGGAAGAGGAGGTTGGGGGCAGGGGGACCAGGAAGCTCTCCGTGTGTGTGGAGGGAAAGATTAAAGGATTGACACTTCCTTGCCCAATTCCAACTGTTTTAAACCGTGAAGTAGCAGCAATCTATAGTAGCACCAAGCTGGAAAGTATGGCTCAGTGTTAATTCAGATGAGTTAAGTGAGTCATAGATAGCTTGGATAATAAGATTATGAGTACCAAGCTTGATACTAAAAGCTCAGAGATGGTCTGCAAGTTCAGCCCTACCACATACATATCTAGAGGGTCCATCCTCATATAGCTCTTCTGTTTTGCTGGTTAAATGAGCAAATTCTAGTTTCTATCCTCATACTAAAATAGGACTCAGTTCCCTAAGATAGTTTTCCTTTCTTTCAAGGTCTCCCTTCTTCTCTTTTCTCACCTAAGCTCACTCCTCAAAGTGCGCCTCTCATAAGCCAGGTATTATTTGAAGTTCAAAAATCTGCTTTCAGAGGATACTTCCTCAAGGTTTCAAGGAGGAGCTCAGAGTACGCAGAGAACTCACCATAGTTGGTGTCCAAATCCCCAACAGCAAAAACAGCCACGGTGCATCTTGAGGAATCACTTCGACGATTTCTCAGCCAGTGATGGAGACAGAAGAGCAACACTCCACAGACAAAAGCCACGACGAAAATCAGGAACAGTAACCTGATGTCAAAAGCAGCAGGGGAGAAGTGAGATAGGACATGTGGGCAGTTAAAAGTTTCTGTTACTTCCTGGAAAGTGGATAAGGACTCAGCTAGGCTAGGTGCAAGCAAACCAGGATGCTGAATTCTTTAACCAATCCCCTGCCCCACAAAATGGCGACCGAATCTGCAGTATGGCTTCCCACAGAGAAGGTTGTTCTGTTCAAGTGGCGATAACCACTTCGTGGAAATTGGAAGGTTATTCTAAAAAGTATCATCTTGGTTCCTGCCTCCTTCTCTGTATCTGTCTGTCTGTCCATTCCTTCTTTCTTCCTCCCGTTCAACATTACATCCATCCATCAATCCATCCATCAATCCATCCATCCATCCATCCAACTAGTATTTAGGCAAATAAACATCTTTTAGATGTGAGACTAGGGATTCAAACATTGAAAAATGAGATTCTGTCTTTGAGCAACTAATTATCTAATTCATAATATTAAATTTGGAAAATATGGAAGTCAAGATTTAGGAAGTTATAACAAATGTCTTGAAATTTTTGATGTATTATCTTATAAAAGAGGAGGATGCTTATTTTGAATATCTTTCACAGCCAGAAGTGAAACCAGTGGAGGAATCACTTAGAAAGATTACAAAAGAAAAACAAAAAACATTCATTTTACCATCAACCACTTCCAACTCTGGAATATATTCTTATCCTTACATATAGTTAAGTTTCCTGCTACAGATACTTTTAAGAAAACATTACCCAACAACCTGAGTGATGTTTCTATGGATATTGTTTATGTGACCCTAAAATTTCTATATGCTGCATGATTTCATACATTGTTTCAGATTATTTAGGAAAACAAGTAGGTATAAAATACCTACTGTATTGTGAAATAAATTGAGGATATCTTTACCGGATGAACCAGTCACTAGGATGTTGATCACTACAACTTACACACCTGGTGCTAAAGGAAGACTAGTAGGTGTTAGTCCTCAAGATGACTAAAGCCTATTTCTTTGGGGCCATGAGGTGGGTACTCACCACACTAGTTTCACCAGAACAGTCACCTGTTTATTCCTGCACCACAAGAACACATCTTTTCCTACCACAACCAAGCAAACGTTTACCCTTTACCCACTCTGTTCAAGACACGGAGAATGCAGGTAATCTGAAACCATCAGACATATTAATAGATGACTTTACTGCAATAGGTTTGATTCTAGAATTACAGATATCTTTGTGCGTTGAGAAGGTAGTGACTAACTTTAGGGCCAGTATGCTGTACGAATGAGGCAGATAATTATTCCATCATTCTTTTATCCATATATTTGGAGTCCTTTACAATTCCAATTCTCTAAGGGAAGGATTATAACCTGCTGATCTTTAATATTTTGGTAGAGAATAACAAGCACTGGAAAATTTGTTGCTTTGTGGTTGAACAAGTGGACCAAAAAAGAAGTTAAGCTAGAAGAAAAACAAGTATGTGGCCACTTGTCATTTAAAGGAGTTAGAAATTGATCACTCTGAATGCACAAATCATGTGTGTGTATAGGCAGAGCTCAATCATTCCAGAAATAAGCTTAAAAAGATTGTACCAAAACAAAGTTCACAGTAGATTTACCTCCCCAAGCAAAGGGATGAATGTGTTCTTCATCTCAGAGTCCTTCGCTATGGACAGTATGGTGTACTGGTTATCTATGTGTGGATGAATTTCTTTCAGACCACAGAGTATGACCACTGTTAAAATGTGCTGGACTGAACCATAGAAATCTGTTCAACACAGCCTGATAACCTCAGATGGGGCTAGACTTAGTCATATCTTCTTCGCTCATTGTTAAGATAACACCCAATAATTCTCAGCTTGAAAGCATTCAGAAACATCAGTTAACTTATTGCTTGTATTATCCCCCAGGAGGTAGTGTATCATGTCCATCATTATGGTAGTCAGAAGTGACCTTTCAACAGAATGTGAATTGTCAGTTTAAAATTTGTACCCTGAACATCAAAGACAAATCAGACAACAGGGATATGCTTGCTTATTATTGCTTCTTTTGCTTTTTTTTTCTCCTTGAGCACCTAGAATATTTGCTAATGTTATTAAGCACAAATGGCCGAGAAAAAAATGACCAAAGCATCCTAAGACAAATGATCACTAGTAAAGGATTTTCAAATAATTAACAGCTTACAAGTGAATATTGTCCAGCCATCAAAAAGAATATAAATTTATATTTGTTATTAAAAGTCTTGATGAGCAAAACAATCTGGAGGGTTCAGTCCTTACTTTGTATATATTATTCTACATGAGTACAATGATGTCACCAAAATAACTATTAAGTTCCAGCAGGGCTTACTTTGTACGAAGATAGTGTTATAAGAATTGTTCTTTCTAATACTGAGTTTTTATAATGTATATATATATATATCATTTTTGTAGTTAAAAAGTATTAAAATGCTATATTAAAGCATAAAAATCTTTAAAATATAGTGATAGTTAAAATATAAATGTAGGGAAATTTTTAGTGTCTGGACCAAATAAAAAAGCTGTAGATTTTTTTTTTTTTAAATTGGCCTGGGCTGGGAATTTAGCTCAGCAGCACAGCGCCTGCCTGTCAAGCGCAAGGTTGTGACTTCGGTTCCTGTTACCGGAAAAAAAAAAAACCAAAAAAACCCCAAAAACAACAACAAAAAATTGGCCTACAAGCCCATGACTGAGAATATGCATTATTTCATCTTTCTCCACATGTAAATCTCTGCTATTCTCTCTTCTCATTTCAAAAATAGCATACTTCACTTAAAATCCATTCTAAATACTGAGAACTTTATTTTATTTCTTCAGATTTTTGACCCACTCAGTATTCTTTTTGAGCCCTGTGCGCCCTCTGGTGGAGATTCTGATAAGCGCTAAGATGACGGAACAGTGAGCTGGAGAAATCAAAGTTATCCTATAATTTCAAAGTTTTTGGCAACTATGAGGCCATTTACTTACCCTAAGGACTTTACATAGTATACGACTGATACTAGATCTGGGATAGGAAATGGACATGTCACTAGGTAGCCAAGGAACTTCAACCAGAATGTGGACCTTCTGACTCCATGGCCTCCCTTCCTTCTCACCACTGTTTCTGTTTCTTCCTCCAAATCAGTTATTCAGCAGAATACTTTGAGTTCGTAAGAAACAGTGCCTGAACTGTGACACTATTCTAATTACCCAAACTTCAAATAATGGCCCTTCTTCACCCGGAAGGTGTGGACATCGTTCATGCTCTATATGGATGGTTAGGCAAATTCTCAGTGCTGAGAAGCCACAGACCTAAAATTATGAGTTTGTTAATGTGAACAGTTCAAAAAAACAACCACAGAGCTGCCCTATCTTTTCCCTTGCTACAGGGCAGTATTTTTTGTGCTGGGAAGTCATCTAATCCAAATATATAGCTTCATGTGCAATAACTCACTCTGACAATATGCAGTATAGGAACCATTGTTGAACTCCTGCCATCTTGTATGGTGAACCTCTGCATCACTTCCAATTTTTTTTATTACTTGTTACTGTCTTTGATTGTTTGATCAATCTTACATTCTTATATCTGGTGGATTGAGCAACTTTGTTGAAGATAACAGTATGTAATGTAGCAACCACTGTGAATTCCTATCATATTGTTTTGAGGTCATGAACTGTTTTTGTCGTTTTTGTGTTGTTTTGATTTTGTCTACATTGTTGCTGTTTTGTTAGTTTTTTTAATCTTTCAAATAATGAAAACTCACTCTGAAACTTGTAATGCGATAGCGTAGGACCCCAATATTATAATCCTTCTTATACAATTGAGAAAACCCATGCATAGAAAATGTAACTAACTTTCCCAAAATAGCATTACTGGAAATGGCAAAAGTAGATTTTAAGTAAAAATATTGCCACTGAGCAAGTAGCAAAACCCCAGCTGTCGCCTCACATGACAGTGGGGAACGCTGCCTGAATACAGTCAATAGCCTATGTCCCAATGTACTATAAGGAACTGCTAAAAATACAAAAATATATAGAAGCAAGAGCCTAGAGAGTGTTGGAAAAAGACTGAGGTCAGTGTATAAACAAAATGTAGTAAATCCTTCGCATAAAATTAGAGCTTAACTCCAGAGCTGGCTTAAGCTTTCTAGCAGTTAATAGGGTGAAAGCGAAAATTGGGTAATATAGTGTCCTCTAAACTGAGGAAAGCGACCAGCACAACTCACCAAAAGTGCAACTATTCCTTATATTGAAACCAAAGAAAAATTCAAGTGTGAACTTTATAAAGACGGAACAACAAAGAGAATGTTAACAATAGGGGTAGCATTTCCATGTACTCTCAAGATAAATGGGATAACAAATCTCGGGGATTTTGTTCTTTTTAAAAATTATTCCTCCAAATAAGCATAAGTGCATTTCAGCTACAATAATTTGAGGACAGTGATGGGTATCAAACCTTATCATCCAAAAAGTGATAGTAAGTTGCATAGTATCAAGGAAAATAGGTGGACTGTATATCCCTTAAGTACTTCACAAAAAAATGTGATGAATTAAAAGTGGACTATACAGCAAGCCTTGTTAAAATTCTAGACTTGGAATTTACAATCAGTCCTGGGTTCAAATTTAAGCATTGTTGCTTATCTGCTTTCAAAGAGGACTAGAACAAAATATCTGGCCTCAGTGAATGAGGTAAGAAGGTAGCACATCATTAGGAAATTCACTAATGCAATTAACTACAGACTCCTTCAAATGTAGAAAACATTAATGTGTTTAAGCCCTTCTGTTCATGTGAATACAGGTACTCTATCTCATCATAATTACTTATGGGGGAAGGAACGGTTTATAAATCACATATAATGCTTAAATGTTGCACAGAGCATAGTAATGCATTATTCATGCTAAAATGTAATTACAGTAAAATAAGTATATTACATAACAAAAAAGGAGTCAGATTGTGGTATTTGAAAACATATTTAAATAGAACCAATAGTATGTTGGGTTTTTAAAAAATAGAAAATACTTCACAATATTCTCAGAACATAGAAGTTGATTAATAAAATTTCTGGCTGATCAAAGACTCTTTCCCCCTCACTATAGCCTCTACTACCTTTTACTCTCTTTTAAATTTTTCTTTTTTACCTTTTCTATTCCCTTGCATTCTAACCCAGGTTTCCTTTTTACACGTTAATTTTGCATAGGGAGCTTGAGCAAATTACAGCCCTTTGAATTTCTCATTTCTAAAGGATATTTGGATGAGGCCATCCTCTGGATCCTTTTATCTCCAATCTAGCAGGTTGGTGTTACTCTTGTAGTACTGTTAGTAAAATAATGAATGTGTTTTCTTGGCCAGGTAACATACTTTAAAAAGAGATAATGTGTCTGATCAAAGAAACAATTGTAAATTGAAATTCCAGAACGAATATAGATAAATAAAGATAATCTTATATGGATGTAAGGCTTTTATTCACTTAGAAAGTAGCAGGCCTTTGTTTATATACTTATCCTACTGTCACTCTTTGTGCAAAAGAGTCAAGATATTTTGTGTATTCTCAATAGATTTACTACTTCTCTACAGTTCCAGCCGTGGTCTTGACTTCTCTGTGCTTATTTCATGCTAATAAGTATTTCATTTGAGGCAGTTTCTGGTTTTCACTCAAGAGAAAAATAATGATAAATATAACAGATACTTTTTATGCAAAACACTGCAGCCAGAAAAGAGATCGTGACTATCAGTTGAATTCCTGCTATCAACTATCTCTCTCTAGTTTCCAGTTTCTTCCCCCAAAGTGAGACTGATAGCACCCAAGATCTACAGTCAACATAAAACATTTTCTCAGCATAACATATTCCTGCTACAGCAATTAGAAAGTTAGATTCAAGGGGCTGGGGATTTAGCTCAGCGGCACAGCACCTGCCTGGCAAGCACAAGGTCATGAGTTCGATTCCTGGTAATGGAAAAAAAAACAAAAAACAAAACAGAAAGTTAGATTCAAAATTTAAGACTCTTTCCAAGTATGGATTTCTGTGCTCTGTTATCCTGAATCAGTGGCAGAAAGCAAGCAGGTAAGATGAGGATAACCATGAAAGCCAGAGTCATGTAAACACATAAACAGTCAAAATCTCTTAGAGCAGAAATGGCAAAAGAGGGAACGGAGAAGTAAGTCCAAAAATTATTGCAAAGAAAGAGTGGCGGAGAGTTGTGCTAAAGCTGAAAGAGTAGCACATACAGTACTTACTAAAACAGACTGTCAACAGTAAAACGATCCACTCCAAACAAGTGAATGAACCCAGGGCCAACCAAAGCACTGTACTTGGCCTGGTGTCTTCCTTTCCAGCCGGTGCTGAGAGTCCCTGGCTCGAAGGGTAATAGGCAACGATAATTGAAAACAGCTGGCTGGCAGAGCAAGCCGCAGCCAGAAGAAAGCACTTGGCAAAAGCGCTTTTCTGACACTTGCGCTAAGTCCCAGTGCATTAGTATTATCATTAATCATCAGCAGTGTCATGAATAGCAACTTCTCCCCATCCCCTGAATTTAATTCGGAGAACCATTAACATCTACAGCACAAAAAGCAAGGAGTGAGTTATTCATATAATTCCCAGCTCACATAACCCATATCAGAGTTATTCACATAATTCATATCAAAGGCACTTTGAAAAGTGTGCCTGGTATCAGTTAGAATCTAGGTGGATCTGCTGATTTTTGAGATATGACTATCCAGAAACTTGCCTCTCTCATCCTTGCTGTGACTTTCGAGAGTGGACGCGGCTGTAGATGACATCAAGACACTAAAGCACCCTTGAACCTCAACAGAGGGGAATTCTTATTTGCAAAAATACCTGGAAGCCAACTTAAGTCTTTACTTGTTTAACAAAGCTGATCATAATGAAAATTGAGTTTCTTTGTTTTATTTTAATTAATGTGCATGTATATTTGTTTTAGAGAATTTTAGATGTATATGTGATATTAGCTTTGGGGAATTTTATGTATGTATCTGTCTATTTTGATCAGTTTCATGCCCTTGACCTTCCTCTTCCTTACCATACTTGTCCCCCTGGTTTTCTTCTATATCTCCAAAAAGTCTGCTTTCTTCTTTCCTATCATCTGTCTTTATTTTACTCATTCTTTTACTTGTACTTTGGGTTTTTCATGCACAAGAGGGGACCACAATTTACAGTGAATGTTCAAATAAAAATTGATTATAATAAAAGAGACATTGTGATTAATATACCTCAAAATTCCCTTCCTTCATTTCAGGTATATTCATCCCACCATTTTTACCACTTTGTGCAGCAGTTCTGAAGTTCACTTTTATGAATCTCTTCATACAGTGGGCAAAAATGCGGTGAACGCGGCTGAGAACTGCCCGCGGAGGGAAGGCAGGCTCGCAACAACACCATGGTGTGTCCTCGTCCGCCTTATTCATCAGATCTGTCACCATGCGACTGTGGCTCTTCTCCAAAGCAAAACTGACCATGAAAGCTAAGTAGTTTGAACTCATTCAGGACACTGAGGCAGTCACAACAGTGCGGCTATGACACTCAAAAAGACGACTTGTAGAATTGCTCTACAAAGTGACGAGAATGGTAAGTATGTTCCAAGTTGGGAAATATTTTGAGGGGAATTAGTGACAGTGTGTCTTTTATTATAATCATTTTTAAATATAAAAATTCACCCTATTTTTCAGTCAAACTGCAAAGGAGCAATGTGATACTTAATTTTGTGAAAATGCTTGTGCATAGCATGCAAAAGAAATAATCAACAGAGAAAATGGACAACCTACAGAATGGGGAAACATGGTCTGCTACTCTTCGACAGAGGACTAATATCTAGTTTATATAAAGCACTGAGAAAATTAACATGCCCAAAAAACAAACAGCCCAATCAAAAACTGGGAAAATATACTGAATAAAGACTTGTCCAAAGAAGCAGTACAGGTGACCAAAGCCAATGAAAGCAATTGTATATCTTGTCTTTAGCAAAATGGAACCATTTACAGTTTAAAAACTGTTCACTTTTGTTTTTCTGACATGGTTACAAGGATCATTTGGAACTCTTTGGAGGATTTTCAAGTGACTTGAACCTTTTTAATACTTTGAATTGTTTAAATGCTAAGTAAAAGCATAGAATCTCTGACTATTTACTTACATTTCATTTTCTTCACACAGTAGATCCGAGAGCTCCAACTGAAACACATGTTTAGAACAATAAAATCCAAACATCTCATCAGTATAATCCTTTAATACATAGCAGTGCCGAGAGACAATGTGGATTTACATCTTTTCATTTGTTTATGTTAATTAAAAGCTCCACAGCACATTTTATTGTTGCTGCAGAGTTTTAATTGAAAGAAATTCTCTGGGTAGATTTTTAATCTCACCAGTGACAAGAGATGTATATTGTGAATCAGATTTCTGTCCAACATATTGCTATGTGTAGATTTGAAAAGCATTTTTTGCTTTCTCTGTAGGCAGATTTTGCTTAATCTAAAGAGCTTTTGTACATCTTGCACTTCCTCCTTATTTTCACATTTTTAGTAGAGGAAAGGTTTTCATTACCCACAGGAAATATTTTCATATAAATGAACCACATTCCCAGTATGTGGAAACAGAAAATCAATCCTACTAGGCGTAATGGGTTCTAGGCATAAAGGGATAACTTTATTCTAAAACCAGAATCCTTTTAAGATCACATGACATTCTGTTGAGACTTACAATGCTCTCTTTATCAAACAAGGGGAGAAATAACCTTTAAAAGTCACAAGCCCCAATTATTTTAATAAACTATCTCAGTTCTCTGTGTTGAGCCTTATAGGGTATAACGTCTCCCACTCACAACCACAAGAAGAGAAAGTATTTCTTTCTAGAGGTTTTGCTTGCATTTCTTTGTTTGTTTTCACCTGTGAACCAGGAATCCTTCTGGGTACAATGAGAAAAATCTTTAAATGCCACCATTATGTAGCAGTAAAAGTTGGGTTGTTGAGGTCAGTTGGAGCACTTAATCTCCTGAACTATCACATATAACTACAAGTATGAAGTTACAAAGTTTAAAACGATAAATTTGGGACTTTTTACTGAGTAATGTACTTTCCCCTTAATCCCAAATGCATCTTCTTTAGCACCTTGTATTTATATCACCCAGTTTATCTGGGCAAAGAGATTTGTGGACTTGCAGATGGAGCCAGGAATTGGCCATCTGAGAGCAAGGTAATGAACAATTTATAAGCACAGAAAATGAGTTGCATTCTTTTTTGCTACGTTGCTGCAAATAGATTTGCATACTAACAGAGGAAAATGAACTTTCAAATTTAATCCATAGGAAAGTTTATTTACAAGAAGGTGAAATCATTTGGGATCTAGCTTAACAGAAAAAATAAAGCCCACATCTCACTTTCAGCTCAAATACTAGTACTGAACTTTAGCAAGAAATACTATGTTTCATTCTTACCACCTAACTGCCAAGGTTAGCTGTCAGGCTCCTCCATTATTAGAAAACTCCAAGAGAAGTCTTAATATGCTTTGAGTCAAAATCTTTCAGATACATTGTGTTGAAGTAACACAGGGAAGCAGATATTGCTCAGAAAAGAATGCTGGAGCAGAGGAAAGAAGAGACCCTAAAGTGGTTCTTTCCATCTAAGTCAGCATGAAAAACCTGTCGGTGGCTCAAGTATGGTTGCAGGGAACAGTAAATATTTCTTAAATTAATTCAGCCATAGCACCTTGCCCTGTGTCAATAGCATTTTTGATTTTTTAAAAAAGTTTCACAGCATAGCAAAGTGAAATAAAGGTTAAATTTGCATTGCGTTATTTCAATAGCAAGAGGACAATAGAAAGAAGATATAAGACCAATGTCATGGATATTTTGCTTTCAATATTGTAGACCAATAAATGTTATCGGTCATAAAATGCTAATATCACCTTCTTACAACAAATCTTTTAAATGCAGGAGTAGTAATGATGCCCACACAACAAATCTATAACAAATCAAGTTCTCAGAGTACTTCAGAAATCTCCCAGAAAGAGAGACGGTTACCTGAAAGAGTTGAACACACCAGGTCCCTGTTGTTGAGATCGCTAAGCTGACACTGAACGGTCTGAGTCTTGACTCATGATATGCTTAGAGATAGTGGTTTTCTGACTCTGATGATCGCTGTCTTTCTCAGCACTTGTTGACGTATCTGTCTTATGCTTCCTTGCAGAGCACGCATTAATGATGGTCCTTGTGACCACTGAAGTACGTGCTGGGGGAAAGAATGTCAGGTGCCTGCTCACAGGCACTCGCAGTTCCAGGAATTTAAGTTTAAGGTCAGAACTCGGGGCACTGTTTGTTAAGGCTCTGTAAAGGAAGGGTGGTAAATGTTGACCTGCGTAGTTAGCTGGCTGCTTAAGTAAATTTTAAAACTCAAGTGCATGTTTTAAAAACAAACTATTGTTTCAATAGAATCTTACATTTAGAATATATGTTCAGTTTTCTCTCCTTTGTGGATCCTCCTTGTTCTTTTTGTTCCACATGTTATTTTCATTGCTAGGTCTCAACCAGCCTTGAGTTTACAATTACCAGTTTGGCAGTGTTCAAATTTTGGTAATGTGGAAGGAAGGGATAGAAACAGATATTTCATACACATTGAGAAAGCTGTATTACTTCTTTGGATGACAACTAGGAAATATCTATCAAACTAAAAATAAACCCTTTGTCCAAGAATTCTCCTTCTCAAAATATATCCACAGATATAGATTATTTGTACCTACAAAGGGTACAAGTAATCATATATAGTGATAGTCACTGAAAACACACAGTCCATCAAAATATAAATGGCTAAATGCAAAATGGTTATTTATATCTATTCAACAGAATATTCGGAAGCCAGGATGCTAATCTCAGAAGTTGTTTTTAAAGTGAAAGCAGATCATGGAAGCTAATGTGAAGAGGTCACTAACATTTCATCTATAAAGGAGAAATGAGAGAGAAAGGGAAAAATTGGGAAATTATATATGTGTGTGTGTCATTTAATCATTTTATATTTCCAAGGGCCAATTTTGAAGCCAAACATGTAGAATTTCAAAGAAGCATATTGTAATTTGAGCCCCAGTACGGTTCACCAAATCCAAATCAAATTATAATATACGAATCCATTTATGATCACAGATGAGCCATATTAGTTAGCTAAACTACTGCTATGAATTGGTCATTAAGGTATATGGATTATTTGAGCTACATCTGGACAGGCTAAGCAGGCTGTGTGGTGCTCACGGTCTGTTTAGTATGCAGTCACAGTCACAGCCATGAATTTCAAAGCAGAGGAAGGGCTCGGGGCCAATGCCAATAGGAAGAAAGTAAACCAAGCCTACAGTATTATTTGTCCCTAAGACACTCTCCATTTTGAGTGTCTCTGAAGCCTGTAATTAAACAGAATGAAAAATAGGCTTTTCACTGGTGAACTTATTTATTAGTCGGTCAGAAGCCTGACTTCCGTCAGCAGAGTCAATGATCTTAAGAATTTCTGGGAAAGGAAGGGCAGGCCAGATGACTAGTAAAGAGATGGAAGCGAAACAGGAGCTGCATGTTTGGTTTAGCTTTAGAAATTTGAACGATGACCAAGCAGAGATGGATTAAATAATTCTTGTCGAAATGTACATGATCCTGCAACAGGTGGCTGATGAATACGGTGACCAAGTGGAGATGGTGTTCATCCTTAATGCTGCCAATGCCATTATTATATTTGGTGCTGAAATAAAAATTATATTAATTAATACCTTTGTCTTCTTCCCAGGCTGCCATTTAACCATTTACTTTTCTGACTTCCCATACCACTTCCAAAGGCTTGCATGGTAGATTCTAACTAAGGTAGTAGTTTCCCTAGGACATTTCCTTCTTCATCTCAGGACATTTGGATGACCTTGGAGCAAAAGAAGTCTGACATGAGTGACACAACTTTCCTTATCCTTTCATTTTAAGAGAGCTATAGATCTGCATACAGTATTAAACATTAATAAGAGATTCTATATCACCTTGGTCCAGTTTTCCCCAAAGGTAGCACCTTACACGTATGTTGTACAATACCACAATCAGAAAGTTGACCCTGATACAATGCAAAAGCCACATAATTTTTGTGATTCATACTTAATCATTTAAAGTTGTTGATTAATTATGTTTCTCCAAGCACACTCTTATATACCGGAACTTGTGACACTGAATTCTCATCACTGGAAAGCCAATTTGAAGACACAATTGCTAACATATTAATAAGGTCATTCAGGTCCATGAGGATTTCTTATGCTTTAATATAGGGACAAATGGAAAAAAAATAACATAAAAAAGATCAGGGAAAAGAAGAAAGGGAGATGATGCATGAAGATATGGAAAATCAAACGCCAAACCTTGACTGACCACATGGTGAGCCTCCTAACCTCATCTTTCTAACAGGAGCATAGGCACATACATGCTCTTCCATTCAGTGCTGGTCTTCTCTTTTCTAAGAGGAATTATATTCCTCAGAAATGGGCAGAGATCAGGAGATGTGAAAACTGTCCTTTGGTTTCAAAGTCTGGAAAAAGTCCAAATTCTCTGACGCCTTGAAGTCATATTGATATTTGTCCTTAAAGGTCATGGCATACAGCTGTTCCAAAGGAACTAAGGGCCAAAATACAAGGGATTAAGCAGAGGAAATAAAAGATATGAATGGAAGTGGCGCACGGGAAAGGACAAGCAAAGAGATTATTGTTCTGTTCATGAAAACTGAGGGAGCAGGGAAAGGTTCTAGCAGTTGCAAGATGACAGCTGAAGTCACCACGAACCAGAACTTAGGTTCTCTGAAGTTATATTTTCTAAAGTGATAATAATTTCATTTAAGCTGCCTGCTGTACTTTCATTCTGAAATAGATGAAGTTGAAAGTATCAACGTGAAATCTGACATTGCGCAAATATAAGGAATTGAAGAGTAAACCAAAAATAAAATAAAATAAAACAAAATGAATTCCAACATCAGCTCAGAGATTTATGGAAATTATAGGAGCTGGCATAAGGTAAGAAGGACTTAAAATGAACAGAATGCTATCATACCCTCTGGATTTTTCAATTGCACCTTCTCCCCAGTGATAAGAAATATTGATCATAGTGTTAAACCATGATCAGTTGTAAGTCTTCCTATTGCTTGAAGTATCAGGCCACATTTGTTTTCTTTCATTAAACACTTTCCTCCCTTGGATTCTAGAACAATATATTTCCGGACTTTCCTCTCACTTTAATTACCACTTTTCTCTGTCTCCTCAGATCTGACGAGTTAGGAGAGCCCGAAGTGACTCCGCCCTCAGACCCTTGTCTTTTGTATACGCATTCCATCAGGGGTGCTATTCAGTCTCACATACTGTCATCAAGAAACTTACCGACCCCAGGGGCTGGGGATTTAGCTCAGTGGCAAAAGCGCCTGCCTGGCAAGCTCAAGGTCGTGAGTTCGGTTCCCGGTACCGGAGGAAAACCCAAAAAAAGAAACTTACCGACCCCAGATTCATATATTCAATCCAGTTCTCTTCCCCTAAACTATAACATCAGCTGTCAAATTGATGTCACCATTTGGATGTCTATTAGACTTCTGCAAATAAACTGACCAGGAACCCATCTCTGATCTTTCCCATTTCTCCTCTGCTCTTTTTCCCTGCAAATTTTCCCCATATCAGTAAATAACACTTTTTCTTATGGTTATCCAAATCACAAAACCTTGTAACAATTTTTACTTCTCTTTTCACATCGCGCTTCCAATCAGTCAGAACATCTTGGAGCCCGGCTTTCACAATATATACAGACTTCTAGTACTTTGCATTATTTTAACTCCCAATTTTGCGTCTATATTATTCACCAATAACCACTCCCTGTCACTGCAGTTGTTGCAGTAGCAGGCAATTCTGTTGCTCGCTTGCCTGCCTGCAGATCGCCCTAATAAGCCAACCAAGGAAACGTGCTTAACTGTAAGTCAAATCCTGCTGCATCTCTAAGCAAAACTCCCAAGTAGAGCATTTCCCTCTGCGTGGAGCAGAAGCTATCTTGGCAATGGCTTGTAGAGCCTCACAAGGCCTGTTTTCCCTTTCTGACCTCATATCCTGCTGGTCTGTGGGCTGACTCCGTGACAAGTACGCTGGTCTCCTTACTTTCTCTTGAATAGCTCAAGCACTCTTCCGCCTCGGCGTCTTTGCATTTGCTATTTCCACTGTCTGAAAAATCACCTTTCCCTGTATTTCTAAGGCTTACTGCCTTTTCTTTTAAAGACTTTTGGTAAAACACCATACTGTACGCTCAATAAAGTTTTCCCTGACCATTGTATTTGACACCCCAACAACCTTCTCCCCAGCCAACACTTCTTGTCGTCTTCTGTAATTTATGCATTTGAGAAAATTTTGTAAAATGCTTATTCATACCACATGAAAGCTGTTTTTGTTTTTCTCCCTCTTCTTCAATGTGAGCTTCATTCATAAAGAAACTTTTGCCTGTTTTATTCACTGTGTATCTC